CAGGAACACGTGCTCATCCAAGCACAGACATCGGTGCAGGCGGTAGACACGGCGCGAAAAGTAAGAAGGGTCAGTTACAAACCGCCGAGGGTTCTAAGACGCGGTTGAGGACCCGAGGACACTAAAGAGCCCTTTGCAGCCCACGCGTCGACCCTCGAAGCAATCAACGAACAAGCTGTTGGTCTCATCCAGCATCGTTTTGAAACTGTCGTTATTCCTCTATTATTACTCTTGATAATGGTGTACTTCCAATGCTGTTTGGGTTGCTAATGGTAAAACGGTTGCTTACCGTACTTGTTTTTGGCTCCAATCCCATGTAAACACGCAAAACCGACATGCCGATTTCACCGCTGGCTACTGCCGAATATGTTGGTGCCGTCGGTGTTCCCGGCACCTCCAAATTCGAGAATTCTGCAAGTGCCGAATCCCTCGGTATTGACGGCGTTTACTTTGCTTCCAGTAGTGAAACCACCGGTATATGCGGTGTTTCCTTTACATCCACGCCCAACCATGACGACGTCCATGGTGTAATCCGTTCTGAGAAGAGAGCATCCATGGCCAAATCATGATAACGTCCATGGTGATCATGGTGTAATCCGTTCTGAGAAGAGAGCATCCATGGACAAATCAGGATGACGTTCATGGTCTAATCCGTTCTCAGAAGAAAGCATCCATGGCCCCACCATGATGACGCCCATGGTCTTATTCGTTCTGAGAAGAGAGCATCCCTGGCCAAATCATGATGACGTCCATGGTCTAATTTGTTCTGAGAAGAGAGCATCCATGGCCCAACCATGACATACCATGACGACGTCCATGGTTTAATCCGTTCTGAGAAGAGAGCATCCATAGCCGCCATGGCCCAACCATGATGACGTCCATGGTGTAAACCGTTCTGAGAAGTTTCATGATGAAAAGGGTGACAATGATTATGATGAGGATGGTGATGATGCTGATGATGAAGATGGTGCTGATGATGAAGATGATGCTGATGATGATGATGATGTAGAACAAGAGGATGATGATGATGATGATGATGCTGCTGAACGATGTGCATCTTGTCCCATGCAGACCACGCGAAACAACGAAACGACAACCAAAATCGTGTTTTTTCCAAAATTTGCGTCCAGAGTTTCCCCACACAACCGCAAATTTTGTGTTGCAGCAGGTGTTCCCACGGAAAACCAAAGCAACGGCAACGAAAGCCAAGTTGGCAAACTTTGCATACAAAAGTTTGTTTTGTCCCACTCAGGCCGCATAAAGCGCAGATCGGAATTTGCGTCGTTTCCACGAAAACCAACATGCCTAAAACCTCGCAAAAAAAAAAAAAACAGTGAAAACGCATGTTCCCGATACGTTATATGTCGTTCGTCCCACGGAGGCCACGCAAAACGCACGTTGCCGTCACATGTCCCTGCGCGCGTTTGCACAGGCGTGGAGCGTTGTTTTTGTTGTTGGAACAGGTTCTTCACCACTAATCACAGCATTCCTATCCTGGGCCACATGCTCGTGACCGGTCGGAAGTATCACTTTGACCAACATTATGGCTAACGTTGGTTGTTTGGCATCTACAGACTCTAGGTCTTCAGATAAATAGGTTCTTGCTATCATCATTTTGGCTATCATATTGGGTTTCGTTGTTCTTGCATTCTTTTCTTCACCCTGATTCCATCAACATGTTGCCATCGTTTCCGTTTGTTGTCGTGTTGGGCCTGGTTCGCGCTTTAATTCCGGCAGGAAATCAGAATTTCATGAAAAGTTAGTCAAGACGAAGATCTCCTGCTGCTTTCTGAGAATTCCAGGATTACCACCCTTTCCCCGGCCCTTTTGCGCCAAACGATGAAAAAAAATCAAAATGAGAACAACATGTTGCTGGCTGATAACAATTACAGCAATTTGTTGAGGCTCTCCTCAAACTGCAGGATCTGTAGGATTCCGGCGCGCCCTTTCCCCGGCCTTTTTCCACGAAATGATGAGCAAAACGATGACCTGAACACTGAAAGAAAGACAAAATAGTATATTGTTGCAATCACAGTCTCTCCATGAAAGAATCTCATGAGGCTAACGTTGTATCAATCACCACCGCCGTCAGTATTAAGACAATCTGTCTCTTCTAGTGCTGGTTCAGGCGGTACTTATTTAGTTGGGGAGCCGGAATTACATGACTATTTCATTTGTTTACAAATATGACTGAAGCAGTGTTTGAAGCGACTATCCTTGCGGCACAGGCAGTGGACACGGCCAGCTGCGAGTTCACCTTTGAGGAACCCGACATCGAGGGCCTGACGAAGTTCCTGGTGGAGGCGCTTCCGTCGACTGCAGTTTTTGGGAGCCCGTTTCAGGGCCACGGCTCACGCCGACACTTGAGATCTAGGGCAAAAGCCGAAACTTCAACAGCTCAACTCGACCGAGACAGGACTGCTCCTTCAGCAAAGAACGGGTGGAGCGCTACGTGGAGCGATTGAAGAACTCGAAGCCGTTGCCTCGGCGGGCTGGGAGTCTCTGTGGGTTGCGGCTTCCAGAGATTCGATGCTTCGGAATCCTGACAGTGTATTACGATGACGTGAGCTGTTTAGTCGGGTGTTGGGGATTTCAGTATGAGAGAGATGGAGCTGGGGTTTAGGAAGCTGATCGTCCCTCCGGCAGTTGAAATTGCTGATGGGCCTCTTCGAGTTTGGACTCGTCTCTCTGTTCGTATGCAGGAACAGGACCAAGCAGAGACCCTTGGACATGTTCTTCGGTGCCTCAAAGGCCAGCGTCTTGCATGCCGGGCTCTGATGCTCGCGGGTCGCAGAAGCTTTCAATGGTTCAATTGTCAATGATTGCATAACGAAAGCTCCCGGAGCGGGGCCTGAGTTCAGTCTGCTGTAGCAGCCAGGCAAGGGTCAGAAGGAAGATCGGTGGTATCAGACGAGGGCGGAGTGGGGGCAAGCGGAAATGGAGGGTTCAGTGAGGATGCGGGAGTCGCTCCACCGGATTCGGTGACTGAAAGAGGGGTTGGGTAGGAGGTCAAACCGAGACGTCTGGAGCACCGCATGCACACGCACGCACCGCACGCCTGTGTGAATAGAGCTCAGGGCTTACCGATTGTGGTATGAGCAAAGGTAAAGTCGGTATAGTCGTTCGAGGTGGATCAGTGTCATGCAAGACACCCCTTTGACCTATTACAGTACCTGCCAGGTGGAACCGACAATGAAGTCAAACAGGCCAATACTCGCACTCACACAAACGTGTGTTGAACGCAGTGACAAAACTTTTGCACGCAGTCGTGGTATGCCGGTACGATCAAAAGTTTAAGCAGGCATCGCTTAACTGCAATGAGCAGTCACTCCAGTGCAATGCGAGGACATTCGTAGCAGTGGGTTGCTTCATTGCGAGCAGCTGCTTTTCCTTTATCTCTGTCTGCTTGTTTGCCTCTCGCAGCATATATTATAGATGCATGATGATGCATGCACAGACAGACACACCACACACGCACACACCCGCGCGCAGGTACGAAATAACAACACACACACACAACGTGGTATAAAAGCACCGGTATGTGCATGTATGTCAAACAAGCGTACGCAAATCTTAAGCCGTGTTCTAAGTTGTAAGTACATCTTTTGTCAGAACTGTTCTCGTGTCGCAGTCCTGGCATTGAGCAAGAGTCGAACATGTGGTACAGATGAAGCTCTGCACCGCAACCAGCTGGGTACAGTAGCTGCAACAACGATTCAGTTTAGCTTTTGTTGTCATGGCTGCTCTCAAACTCCCTTTCACGATGCCTCTTCCTCATGACAGGTGCAGATCAAAGAGTCAGACAAGCAGCTACCCAAGTCCACTACAGTTGAGCTTGTGTGAGCTCGATGTTATATTTCTCTGGGAGGTTCGATCCGAACAAGAAGAAGGGCGGCGCGAAGGCTTCGGACACAGATCCTCCACGATCCTGGTGTAGACCATGAGAACAAGACCCCAGCGCCCACCGTGCGTCTACATGTAGCTCTCTTCGTGCTCTTCGTCTCTGCAGGCTGCTGCCAAGGCCGGCACCAAGCGCCCTGCTGCTCCGGCCGGCGGCGCAGCAAAGCGTGGCAAGAGGCTCGCATAGGGGTCGGAACTCAGTCTGACAGCAGCGGGAAAAGTACGACTTTACTGGCTGCGGGGTTCACCACAGCGCTTGAAACTGCTATTGAGCGGCATTCGAGCAATTATGCAGAAGGATGCAGAAGGCACCTGACTCAGTAATAGCTTTGTTCAGACTTGCACACCTCCTGACCGCCGCGCAAGGTAAGAATTGCCGACGTGACCAGTGAGGAACGTGATGCGCACGTTCTTGGGGCTTTTCGGGGTAAGCGCCGCTTTGTGCCCCCACGTTGCAACAATGTGGTGTCAGATGCGCATGCCAGATTGCATGCACTGCAGAAGGCATCTCACAGGCGGTGCGTTAGGTGTAGGATTCTTCAGGCATTGCAGCAATGGGCAATCCGTTGCCTGCAGTTTCATTGTCGGGATGCGCCAGGTCATGCAGATCTGTTTGCCAGATAGTATTTAAACTTTGAGGCGTTTGGCGCACCCGATGCTAGCTGGCACTTTGGGGCTTGGTAGGCGGGGATGGGGTGTTACCTGTGCAGTGCGAGAAAACCAATGGTCACAGAGAAGTGCCTGCTCGGCTTGTGCGTTTCCGTGTTTCTTTCTGCAGGCTTTCTCGATAAAGGCATCCATGAGAAGCAGAAAACAAGACCATCCAGCAGATAATGTTATCTTTCATGACCACCTCCTCACGGATGCGGTCCGTCACAAAACACAAGTTTCATGGCATGTGTAGCGTGCAGAGAACCGGTTGGGTGGGATAGTCGACCGAAAGTATATAAGGTACTGGTGACCTCTTGCAGGCATTTGTCGAAGTGTGCTTTCACAGTAGCGTGATGCATTTTTGTTACTTTCGACATTTTACTCCGTGGCGAAAGTCGTTCTTGTTTGACCATCGCAAGACCTTCTGCCCGTTTTTTGCGCAGAGGTGGATGTCAACAACCCGGAGACGTACGCACTGTTGCGCAACGTCAACCGCGACGACTGCCAGTGCTCTTTGCGAACACTCACAACAGCTAAGTTTATTCGCCAGACTTTTGTTGGTCCTTTTTCGTAGCGAGTCATTCAATACTTCGCCTTGGGCAGCCCGGTTGCATACGCCCACCTTCAAAGATTTGTATACGTAATTACACAGGACTTAGTGCAGGCTCGGTAAGCAGAGCCATCTTGTGGAGGCGCATAGGTCTAGGTCCTAGGTGCTAGGTGGGACATCTCACAGGCTTGGCATCTGAAGACAGTTGATTCAAAGACCCTCGTTGGAATATGCTTGGGGTAAAAGTTATGCAACAGGACAGTGGCACTGCGCGAAAGTCTTGCAAAAACAACAGTGTCGTATTGCCGGCATTCCGCACACGGCCACGAGTTGTGCAGCACGAAGAGGCCATCAAATGTACGACCACACCCCTGCCCACAGCGTTTGCAGACGTGCCAGGAGCCCGTCAGAAGATTGCGGAAGGAGCTCTTCCGAGCTCAGCAATGGGTCAAGGATAGCCTCGCTTTGCCACCAGTCAGAGTCAAAAAACGGTTCGACAGTACACGACCGAAGACTACGGTGCGGCGGACACCGAGTACGACCGGGTCAGACGAGCACTTGACGAGGAGCGAGTCGGAGGATGAGCGCTGAGCCCCGAGCCGTCACACCGCCAGGAGGACTCTCAGTTCCTTCTGCTCTCGAGGCACACAACCTTGCAATGCCTTGCAGCAACAGCTATGGCAGCTATGGAAAGCCTATTGCCTCGAAGGTTTGACGGCCGCGTCCCCACTGCGTCAGTACGCACTGCCCGCCGGAACCTCCAAGCAATCGTCGATGCACTAGGCACCTTCTGCTGCTCAAGGATGCCAGAGGGATTCTTAAGCATAAGAGTGGCTCTTGAGGCATATTCAGAATTTCTTGCATCAGTCTTGCGAGTTCGCGAAGCTCGACAACTGAACCAAAATGACAGGAGAAACACTCAACCTGACCACATCACCTGATCAGAGATTCTGTTGCCACGTGAGGTTTTAGCCAGCGCGCAACCGGGGGTTGTAAGCACAACCCGTGCCATTCCTACCTAAGAGCTGTCAGAGCTTCACAGATTCGCCTGCTTCGCCTGCGTCAGACGATCTCTTGGCGCTGGTGCCCACGGCTGACCAAGAGGCCTTGTTCAGAGCGCACACTGTGTTGACACACCCGAAGATGCTTGTACTGCAGGCTGCAAAGACTGTGGCGGAGAGCAGGGTAATTCCAACAGCCACGTCTGCCTGCCAAGATTCATGGTTCCCAGAAAACATGCTTTCCGGCAACTCGGGCTATGGAAGTCGACATGGTTGCGCAGCTGGCTCAATTCTTGAAACTGGTAGCTCATTTAGCCTGGTTCTTGGGCGCAGATGGTGGAGCTAGCCATTCGAAGGCGGAGCCGTCGCCTCGGAGTTGCTTTGCTGTTTTGCTCACTGCTGCTTGCCAATGGGCCTGCTGCACTTGGCCTAAGCTCGACCTCCAGCGCTGGGGCGGCCGTCGAGCGAGCCGGTGGTTTGCGGATCATGTTGGGGTCGGCAGCCATTGGTGCCATCGCAGGCGGGCTGACCCTGACAAATCTGCCCATCATCAGCACTTTCAGTATCCCTATCGGCGCTGGCGCGGGGATTTGGTGTGCACAGTTGCCCGAAGATGCCCCTTTCGCAAAAGCCGGTGACATTTGCCGGTCCCTCGGACATGCGGCTACGATCTTCTTCAAAGAGTTCCAGTCCGAGTACAAGAAGCAGTCCGACACATGAGGGAAATGCCAGATGCCAATGATGCTTGTGATTTTGGCGGTGGCTATGCCGCTCAGAGATGCGCCAAAGAGCAGCGATAGGTCCTGCATAGGGTTTCACCCAAAAGGATGTCGGCTCGGAACAGATTCGCAATGAGCCTGAGAGGAGCACGAGGCGATCGCTGTTTGTGGGCTCTGCCACACCCTGTTCTGTCAGACTGTCTGCAGCTAGCTGATTTTCTGGCAAGCTCAGTGCGTTCAGCATGCAATTGATGACAGGCTGCCCCTGCGTGCTCGGAAGCCGCAGAATGCCACCAACGCCACAAGCAAGTTCCCCAGATGCGTGAAGACTCAGACAGCTTCTTCACGCGTCTTACTGGTGTTGTAAATGCATAATGGCCAGAGTGGGTTAAATCAACTACATTGATGCAAACCTCTGCTGCAGCTTGCAAGAGCTCGGGCAGGTCACCTGAGTGAGTGTCGACCTGGGCTGCTCTCTGCGCTCCGTCTCCCCTTCTTTGCCCCTCCGCATACGTCATCGGGGATCCGCGGAATTCAACGCTCCGGGCCCCTCAATCCGAGCGTGAGATTAGGGGAGGGATGTGCCACCCGAACCTCCATGGGCCCGCCCCCCCCCCCCCAAGCCGAGCGGCGTTGGACTTGAACACTTGGCAAGACACCCCGCTTCGCAGGACAAAGTTCTTCCCTGGACACTAGCTCAGAGACGGGGCATGGGGGCAGCGGTGGTTGAACAAACGCACACACGCACGCAGCAGCGGCAGCGAGACTAAGGGCAAAAGCACATTCAGCTGATGCCCTTGTGGCTGCAAATACTCGAACACTGACCCCTTGGCGCGTGAGGCGATGCCTGATGCTGAAGGCATCACCCCTCGACCAAAATGGGCATCGTAAAATTTATGTTGAGACGCCACGAGGTAATCCAAAAATCGAGGGTCCAGTCGGACCGTTGCTCGAAACGGGACTCCAGTCTGTAGGGGCGTGATGGCTGCAGAGTTTGAGCGTGGAGAGACTGTGGCAACGTGTGTTGCTCGAGCTGTAATTTGTCCCCTTCCAGAACGACCTCCACACTAAGCCACTCACTAATCCAGCGCAGCTTTGGCCCTGGCCTGTATTGGGTCAAAGCTCACCCTGGAATGTTCATGCTGAGCACAGCTGGGACAAGATGTCGCACGCATTGGCAGCTGCGCTAGCAGCACTGTTCGAGCTTGAGCCAAAGTAGCACAGGTGCTGCTGCCCCGAGTGAAAGCACTCGTCTCAGCTCTGCAACGGAATACCATCACGGTCACCCTTCACTCTTCAACTTGTGACCGAGGCAAAGACAAGGACGACGACAAGAGCACACCCAGCAACAGTTCGAGCCCCAGCCTGTCTCTTCTGGACTAATGCCTGCCGGGTCTGCACAACACCGCAAGGTGTGAACCTGGGGAATGCGTCGTCCATCCCGTTTGGAAGCATGGCAATGGACACGAGATCTGATTGAGCCAAGGGGCAAGTGCCTGAAGCTTTGCAAGTTGTAGCTCGTGCCTGCTGGATGGCACCACAGCTTCCCAGGCATGCGGACAGCATGGCATAGTTTGTAAGGGCACCTAAATGGAGAACGATCCACACTCCATTAGATACATATGCCGAAAGGACAGCAGTTGGCAGGCAGTTCGCAGGCCGTTGTGGAGATCACCCGCAACGGGTGCTTGTCTCCCAAACAAATGCACTGCCGCTGCTTTTGCTCCCAGGGTCATGGTCAGCTGTTAGATCGTTTCCTTCACTGACACTACTGCTGAGTCCGCTAAGACACACCTTTCGCGGTGCTCGTTGTGCACCTGTGGGCCCAACAGCGAAACGAGAGGTTCAGATCCTTGACAGCACAATGAGCTCCGGAGATACAATTTTCGACACTCTGAAGATCAGAGCTTTCACCGATCAGCGCGGTCTCCAAAATCAAGGGATGGCCGCTAGCGGGATCAGCAAGTGATCTGGAACCGATACCATGTCGCCCTGCTCGTTTCTCGACGGTTCTCCAGGGTATCATGTCTCAACATCTACCAAAAACAAGCTTGGAAACCACTACGGTTAAGACTCCTGCTTTCCACTTCTCCTCACTTGATGGCCTTTTATGAGAAGTCGTTTTGTATGACATAATCTCCTTGCTGGGAGAAGGCGTTGTATCATATCATTGTGTTTGCAGCCACTCGTTTGGACGATCCAACCATGCACACGTAGTTCAAGTGCTCAGAGCAGTGCCACTAGTAACCAAGCTTTCAGGTTCGAGGTTCTGAAGGCGGTTTTAATTCATATTCCAGTCTCGTTCCAGACGCCCATCTTCGACCATGAAAGCTGCTGCCATGTTTGCGCTGGCATCGCTGGCGGTTCTTGGCGTGATCACCTCCTTAAGGGCCCCTTCCAACGACCGGCAGATGCTTTTGCAGAAGACCGCGGAATTGACCGCCTCCCTCCAGGACAGATGGGCTTTAGACTTCTTTGATGCTGAGCGATAACTCTGCAGCCCCAGGATCTGAAAGAGGAGATTCGGCAGCAGTCCGCTTCGGGAACTCCGATCTCAAGTTTAGAAGGGCTTGAGGGCCGCGACATGCCCGCACAGAAGATGACCGACTCCGGAAGCGGGTGAGATTCCTGTAGCAACGTCTGCGGCCGCCGACGCTGAGAGACCTGGAGCTGCAGAGCTCGTGCAGGATTGGCCTCCCAAGGCATCTCGGTGACCTATATTAACTTTATTATTATTATTTTATTATTATTATTATTATTGTTGTTGTTATTGTTATTGTTGTTATTATTATGGTTGTTGTTATTATTATTGTTGTTATGATTAGTATATGAATTATTACTCTTATTATTATTATTAGTAGTAGTAGTAGTAGTCGTCGTCGTCGTCGTCGTCGTCGTCTTCGACGCCGACACAAGCTTGCTTTCGACTAAGCGTCATGAAGTCCTCCCTCTGGGCATCTACTCTGACTCTGCCGCATCCTCTGCTCAAGAGCGTAGTGCCACACAAGTAGCAGAATCATCCCATCATATTGTACTACGTGGAAATATATCGCCAAAAAAAAGTAGATTGTGTACACTGTACTAGAAACTGGTAAGGGTTCCTCTGCTTGGGTTCAGCTGAGCCCAGGCTTGCACCCATCCCGAAGGAGCGGTGCTCTTCTTCTGTGAGCGGCCCGCCCGAAAGGCGGGCCCGATAAAAATGAGAAAAAGGGGTTTAGGCGATTTGTGGTTTAGGGGTGCGCAGACATTGGTACCCCCTTGTAGGGTAACCTGCACTGCGGACTTGAGCATGCCAGATTTAGCCAGCATCACCGACAGGAGAGCGGAGAGCCTGTAGCATCAGCACTGTGAGCATAGGAATCTCTTGAGGTTTCTAGGCTGGCTTGACAACAAGACGCTTCAAAGCCCAGAGGATCCAGCGGAGGTATCTAGCGCGTCAGCTTCTGGTGCTCTTTCGTTCGTTTCGGAGTACTGCTACCTCGATTCTTTTCATGATTGCTTTCTCCTGACTCTCTGTTCATTATGACGACTCGCGTGCGTTAATGCTTTGATGACTCGCTGACAACGACTGCTGCTGCTGCTAGTAGTACCACTACTTCTACTACTACTGCTGTCTTCCGAACGCAGCAAGGAGGTCTCGCATGCGGTCCAGGTTTTGTGGCAAGATCTGCATCCCGGCGCCTTCGCATCCTGGCACTGGCAGGATCCAAAATACTATCTGTCGAGCGACGTTCCCTGGCCCGAAGGCCCCAAAAGCGAGAACGCCCCTGCCGATTGGTTGCTCGAATCTCAGATCTCGTGCAAAATAAAGAGTTAAAGAATGTACATCAAAGCAGCAAACAGGGCTGATGCGCTACCGTGTGGGTCGGCAGAGAGGCAGAGCACTTATGACCTCAATTCGGGACTGGGGCACTGCATTGGCATTGTGCTCAGCAGGCCGGTGAACAAGCTTGGCAGGGACAGTATCATTGGTGGTTAGTCGATACCTCTCATCTACCAGCACTGCCCGGTACTGCCCTGAGTCCCGCATGGGACCTTCATGCAGCAGGGCTGCGGCACGTCGACACAGCTCGTAAAGGACTTCCAAGGCACCGACCCAAGGCATTTGTACGTTAGCACATATTAGCACCCTTCTAATGCGTTTCCTGAACAACAACAAGATCAACAGCAGAGCTAGCGAGCCAGGCTTTGAGTTCAGCGTTACTACCCATTGTAAGTCCAGAAGCATTCCACGAAAGAAAGTGCATTCGTCGAACCTTGAAGCCTTCTCATATCATGCGCCGCGACTTCCGGAGGTTCCAGGTGGGGAGAGCCTCCAACCCTCGTGTCTATAGACTGAACAGCTCTACACTTCGCAAGCAAAGTACTGCGCAAGATAAGCATCAGGAATCGGATAGGCGTGAGTTCAGTCTATCCAAGGACTTGCTGCTGCTACTGCTACTACTGCTGCTACTACTGCTACTGCTACTACAGCAGCGCTTCCTCTTCCAACATGACAACTTCACAACTCCCGCTTTCCAGAACCCTGTGCGAGCCAGGTAGCTGCAGCATCTGATTTGTGGAAGGAGGGCTCGCAGCTTCTGGGCGAGGCAGACCTCGTTGAGTTCTTGTCTCGATGCCAAAGGGCGGATGCTTGGACACCGGATTTGTTTTTTCTGGCACACTGGAGCGTGCGATCTTGGATCCGTTGATATGTTAGGTGGCTGGCCTCAACCCTAGCCCGAAACTCCAGCCTCAAAACATGCTGAGATATATTGAGATATCAATCCTGGCTTGAACCACGTGACTTTGCGAAGACGGTACCACACCGCAATGCCGCAGGCAATTCCTGAGGGGACTAAGCAGCTCCGCACCGGCAACGGCATGGAGAGTTTCAAAGAACATAGATGCCCCGCCCGCATCAAAGGGCAACCCCAACCCAAAGCTCGATGAATTGAACCCTCTGAGCCCTGCTCGGTTCCGTCTTGTGCAAGTGTGCAGAAGTGCAGTTTTGTGAATGCAGTGTTCAATTCGCTTGCATTGTTATGTAAGTCCATATGTATATACTTACATACATCATGCAGTGTACAGGTGCGCAGACAAACATACACAGGCGCCCTTCAGGAGTATGTGATTCATGAGAGAGTGTGGACAGTCGTTATGGCCGTTACATGTTTCATAATCACAACCATGGCAGTACCAGTGCCAAGATCAGTCCCTTCGTATCCTTCGTCCAGTCTTATCTGCTGTACCCATGTCATAAGTGTTTCAATCACCGTCAACATAACCATCAGCTTTTGCAGTGTTTTCCTATGCAGTCTAGATGCTCGGGAGCCGAATGTTTCAGAAGCGAACCGCCAACGCAATGCCAGTGCTTGTTGATGTGCATACAATGTTCATATCTTGTAGCAGTTGCAATGTGCAACTTCGTCCTGGTGCGAAACCTTCAATAACCGGGAATCACGTGTAGGGACAGTGCCTGTACACGAATCACATCGGAGATGGAATTCTCAAACGGTGCTCTCAAGGCCGAGACCCAGGTTCTGAGACAGCTCGAACGCAGAAGCTAAAGCTGCAAACTGCACAGCCACAGCGAAGGCAGCAGACCCTGAACCCCTGAAAATATTATACTATATTATAGTATATTGTATAGTATATTATAGTATGTTATAGTATATTATATAGTATATTATGACCCCTGAACCCAAACCCCTTGTCCAAGGAGTCGGTCTTGGCCGGTTCTCGAGTGAAGATCTGGTCAGACAGCCGTGATCGCAAGGGCTTCAAAGGGGCCATGGCAGAGCAGGCTGGTGGCCGTGGCAAGTTCAAAATGAGGATCCTAGAGATCAGAATAAACCATCTTTTCGCTTTCAGGGATCAGTCTGACCCTGAAGGTAAGGGATGTGTATGGCCTGTCCAAGTTGGTAAAACCGTCATGGGGCGACGACACATGGATATTGGACGTTGGTGGCAACTTGGGCATCACAGCCATTCATCTGCACATTCGAGCACCCAAGTCCAAACTGCTGACCCTGGAGCCGAGCCCATGGAACTACATCTTGCTGCGGCTGAACCTGTTGCAGCAGCCGGATGCCTTTTAACAGATTATTCAGTTCTTCTGTCGTTGAACATAGTGATAGTGGCACAGCTTGGGACAACGTATAGTGACAGAAACTGAAGGGAAAACGATGCCTTCTCGGTTTTGCTTTGTAGTTTCAGTGTCTTCTTCTTCTCCACGAAATCATGGAAACCATAGTTCCGCTGCTTCAAGATGCCATCTAACTTACCATGAGAAAAACGGCCGGATGCAACAATCATCCTGTCTTACACATGCTGCTCGTGGAGCGTCTTTGCAAGTGAATTCACCTTCTTCCCACTAAACACAACGACAATCGTTTCCAAGCAAGGTTCGCACGCGAGTTTCTTTTGGCTTCACGTATCGGCTGCAGTCTGTGATTGCACCCATGCCGTCCACCAGCGCAACGCAACCCCTTTCGATTCTTCAACAACGCATTTCTTCGACCTGTGGAGACAAATCCTCAGGCTCCTGCAACTGGCAGGAGGGGGAAGGAGGCAAAGAGCTCGTGTGCATGTTTACCTCAACTCCTGAGGAAGTCATTCTCGTCAGCTAGATAATGAACACTCTGAAGTTGCTCAATCTCTGAAGATGGTATGACATTGATTGAATTCGTTGCTCCAAGAGGACGAGCTAGCCAATCTTCAGCAGACGCGGAACACGTAAAGCATAACTGTCAATTTCTTGGCTGCGACGAAATCTGCTTCGCTTACGACATTGCTTTGCGTTTGCAGAGGTCACAGTGCCACCAGTCTTATTGTCACCAAATGAGGAGAGACATTCGGATTGTTGTTGCAAGATAGCAGAGCTGCCTTGGTTCTTTACATGTTTGAGCGGGGCTTCGGTGTTGCTTCTTGTTGCTGAGAGCAGTGGGTTTGTCTGTTTCAGAAGAGAAAGCGGTTTCCTGCTTGTACGCATCTGACGCGGAAAAAGTCTCCTGTTGTCTAACAACATACTTCCGCATGGGATGTTTCAGCCTGGTGGCATGTGTGCACACCTGAAGTACGAAGACACCTACAGGGCCAAAACACGCAAAAAGGGCGCTTAAACGATCTACATCCCAAACTGGCATCGACCATACGTTTCGGTCCGAATCAATCGAATGGCCTTTCCGTGCTTGTGCTTCGCAAGTCCAAGCAAAGGAGCCTTTACTGAGAACTCAATACACTTAATGTCCCTCAGTTCTCATGCAGATGATGCCAATGCCCTGTCGGCACCTAGGGCACACACTGTAAATCCATCCGTTATGACATTGAAGAATGAGTTTCGAACAGCGGTCTTGCAACAACGTCGATGGGACGAGATGAAGAGCGCTTTCAGACCTTTGGCTTTTGCGTTGCACATTTTTTGGGGGGTCGGGCTTGAGCTTGCCATGCCCTCGTACTTCCACGCCAAAATCCCCGTTGGCTCGGGAAGCCTCGGGCAAGCAACAGGGGCCAAGAACCTGACAAAGTTTTCGGCCCTGGACACCAAATTGCCTTTCTCATGCACCTGTTTTCGCTCGCTCAAGCTGTCAAGACCAAGGAACTTGGAGGCTGCTGGTCAGACCGTGTTCGCTTTGCATGGAGGCTTCTCTGCAACGCCCGGCACCTTGCATGGAACCCACATGTTCACGAACGCATGGGGCTCCAGGAACGATGACATCTTCCAGCCCCACAGGTCCATCAAAGGAGAATTGAGCAAGCATGAGCTTGGTCACTTTACCGCTCCGCTTCGGACACTAGAGGAAGTTAAGGCAATTATGGTATCAAGCATATCAGGCTGATGAAGCTTGATTGCGAAGGTTGCGAGTGGACTGTGGGCTTGAGCATGATGCATAGCGGCGATTGGAAGATGGTGGACATGCTGTTCGGGGAACTACATGCGCTCTGTCAGAACGATGTGTCAGATGCAGCTGAGTGCCTGCCGAGAAACGTGTCCACAGCGGCAGGAAGAGATCTATGGTATTCTTTGTGCGAAGCCCGAAAGTTCCCCCTGGAGTGGGGATGTGAAGAGCCCCGCTTTGCTGGACTCCGTGCCTCGGACTGCACGAAGAGTTTTTGCGATTTTCGAGCAGAGCCCCAACAGCCTCGCCTCTTAGCCATCAAGTCAGGTCGAGAGGTAGCCTCGAGTTTGGCAGCCCGGATCTGCGGAAGCTCCGACACCAAAGCCTGGCAGTGTGCCTGGGCCAAGAAGCTCTGTAAAGACCAGGGCCGGAAAGCTCCTCATTGCCACACGGCATAATGGGCTTCAGTTCAGGTAGGTTGGAGCTTTCAGTGACACCATCCCTGCAGCCGATTGCTGTACTGCTTAACCGAACCACCTCGGACAACTCATGACAACTCGACCTTCATTGCTGGCTGTGCCAGCAAGCTCTGCGAGATGAATGCCAACAATGTCGTCCCGCCGTCGCCTCTCGACACGAACCTGACCTTGAACCTGACGCAGCACTATGTCATCCACGCTGGTCTCATTACACGGCATTCTCTTCAAGAGCCGCCGTGTCGAATCTACTGCTTGCGAACTCCGAGCTTGCTTGAGACTGAGTGAGCGACGGATTGTGTATATCGCTTGCAGGGCTTGGTTTGAGCACAGCTTATTCTAAAACTAAATTTCTCGGGCTGATGTGGAAGAAGACCTTTGGAGTTCAGGGATATGACAGTTCCGAACAGTTTGGGCTGCGAAGGCTTCCCATTATGTATCGATTCACAGTCCCAAAGGACACGATTGCTTTTATAGGTGGAAAGACTGGATCATCTTCATGGTGGTTCAAAGGTGTAAGGCTTCGAGTCGACACGGGTTTGGGGTGTCGGTTGGTTAGGGTTGACGGTTTATGTTCTTTTTAAGGCTTAGACCCATTTAGGCGGGGTTTAGGGTTGGGTTTAGAGTGTACAGTACAGGTTAAGGTCAATGAAAGTGGGAACACCGGCCCCTCCCCGCATTGGTATTGTCTAGTAGGGGCGGGGGGGTGGCGTGTGTGGAAAGGGGTCACGCAAATCCTATGTAAGCCATAAACTACCCTATAATGTTGGGCACGCTAGATGCCTGACTATATATATATATATATATCCATATTCGTGTACATGCATGTGTTAAGCCAAAAAAGGTCTATAAAAAGGATAGTAGTTGCATAAACAAATGCTTGACTAGGTAAGCAAACGAATGTATGCGTTAAGACACTCAAGTAGGGTTTACCACGGTATTAGTTCGTCTTGAAGTTAATATATTATTATATATAGTTCGTCTAGTTTGTATCTGGTTTGAAGTATTATAATGTGGCCCGCGGTAGCTTAGTCGAATGGTATTCTTAATTTTATAGGAAATGAATCAAAAAGGTCATGAAAATAGATAAGAATTTATTTCCTTGTTTGTTTTTTTCACATTATATTTTACAATAGATAGATGTGAATATAAGCACACGTGAATACTTATATATTATGTAATGAAACGGTGTCGTGCTGCTTGCTGCCGTGATTCTGTGCGCGCCCCTGGTCCACTGTAACTTGGTGTTTTGACGCGTTTCCTCTTGGAAAGCCTTTTGCGCGCTTGTCTCGCGATACTAAAATATCGGAAATTTTAATACCGCGAGCGCTTCTCTCCTGGTACTAAAATTTCAGAGATTTTGGTAGCTTGAGGGAAACATTAACATGCTCGCGGTCATAAAACTTCTAGGATTTTAGTACCGCGAGCTCCAGTGCCGTGCTTTCTGAGCAGGTGTCTCTGTGTGTCTCTCTGTGTGTCTGCGTGCCCTCTCTCTGTATGTGTCTGTGTGTGTGCGCGTGCGTTTACTTGTCTGTCCGTTTGTGCGCCTGTCTGTCTACTTATCTAGCTATCTATATATCTACTTGAATAATTAGGTAGATATTTATTTCTCTATCTGGATATTTTATTTATTTATTCGTGCATATTTTTCTATTATGCGGTATTCGTCTGATTAGAATGAATCTATATTGTGATGACTAGATATTTTATGGAATATTTATTCGAATATTTTCAATTCTATTGTCTTTTTATAAAAAGGATTTGGAGCTTTTCGACGAGGGTCTTTTATAATTTCTGAAGATTCTGGAATATTATAATGATGTAGGATTTATTAGTGAAATTTAAATTTTTAAGAAATTTTATGAAGGTGATATATCTATTTATTATCTTAGTATTTCTGGAATATATTGAAAAATTTTCTATATATTAATAAATATATATAGTTAAAAATATAGATGAAAAATAAAAGAATAATGCTATATATATTTTCTATTTAATTATTGAATTTTTTTGGATACGAAATAAGAGAAATATATAAAGAGGTTGATATATATAGGTTTAACTTGATTGATTGGAATTTTAGGTCTTTCAATAATTTTTCATATAATATATATGATATGAAATTTCTTGTGAGATAATTCTTTAATATTATGATATATTTATGTTAAAAAAGCATAAAAAATTTCTATTTCTTAAGATTCTATATTTATTTATCATATTTATTCTATGAAGATTCTAATTCAAAAAATTTTTTAAATATTATATCATAAATATATTTAATAGAATTTTATATTTGATAGTGAATATAATTTTTCATAAAAAAATTGATTAGGATTTCGTGGCATGAACCTTATAAAATTAATTATATATATAAGTATTTCTAGGAATTTATGATGTGAAAAATGAATTTGCTCCAAGCTCTCGAGTAATTATCTTTGAGCCTACTAAATTTCGAATACGAAAGATATATATCCCTAATTGGTTGCGCGAATATTTTATATCTTGCTCGGGACGAATAGAAAGTTTAGAAATAAATTATCAAATAATGATTTAATATTAATAAAGTCTAAGATTTGAATGATTTAATTATATATTATTTTAAAAGGAATAGAGAGTAGTCTTTTTATATAGGAAAAATTCTGTCTATCGGATCTATATAGGTAAGAATAATATAAATTATTGTGGCGAAAAATGCGCTTGTTAATAAAAAAATATTTATTATATCGAGCAAATAATCATTTTCTTATTATATATAATATTAAACTAGAGGAATGAATATCTGAATATAAATTAAGGCTAGGATAATATAATCTGAAAATCTGACGAAATTGGAATCCAAGCTGGTCCAGAATCGGTCGGGCAAAACGGAATTTCTAACAAGCAAGAGCCCGATAGTCCCAGCCAGGCACGATTCCGGTGGCAACAGGCAAAGTTATGCCGGGCATTATGAAGATTTAATCGAATTTGACATGCCTAAAAGGAAGGAATGCCAAGAACATATCGAAAGATGCGAGCAGCTAGATTATGATGGATATCATATGGATCAACTGATCAAAGATGATTAAATAGAATTATTTGAATTTTATAGAAAAGAGAAAGGAGCCCAATCGAAGTCGCCTATAATTGCTGCACTTGGGGCATCTGCAGCCAATTCTAGTAAGTGGCGACGACATATATATCCATTATTTAGGAAAACCAGATCTATATAATATGAAAAGCAGCATATAAATTTGGAAGAGATTGGGATGAAAATCGAAACTTAATCCGCGATTTTCAGCCCAAGCAATAAATTGATGGAATTTTGAATGATATTTCTCAAAAAGACGATCTATCTCCTTTTCCCAGTTTCTGGATCTTTAAAAAAAAATATTTAAATTCAGATAATATATAGAAATAATTATATAAAAAATTATTATTTCTTATCTAGGGCTGATATCTTTTTTTAATAATAATTATATCGAATATCATTATTTGTCTCCATAAAATTTTCTTACTTCTCAATTAATTCAGTCGAATTATTAATATATTATCTAATAATTCAATACATTATTTTATTCTAAGCGAAATAATAAATTATTTCTCCCCCGGATTATTAATTATAGATAATAGAATTTTCGAAATTTTTATTGAATTCATTGAATTTATTTTTGAAAAAATAATAGAAAATGATATTGACGATATTATGATTTATCTGATTAAGATTAGAATATTTCTTCTATTAATTAAATATTTATTTTATTAGTTTTAGAAAGAAATTCAAAGAAGATTAAGATTATAACTCTTTTCGGATTTCAGAATTCATTTTGCCAGATTTGATTTATTAGATATTTATCAAAATCATTAATATAAATCTAAATTTTCCTATTAAAATAGGCACAAAAGTTCCAAAACGAAAAACTCGCGCCGGCTACCTACACCGCCAGCAAAATGCTAGCTTGAGCCAAGAAACTTGAGCC